TTACGACGACGTTTCGGTCCGACTTGGACCATTGACAAAGTCACACTTTGTCAATGGTCCAAGTCGGACCGAAACGTCGTCGTAAGCTTCTGTCTTTTATGTGCGGGTTATTTGTGTATCGTTCCAGTCACGGTATTGTGCCTTTTTGTTATTTATAGATGAAATAGTCCTGAACGTTATTAAGTGAAAAGTGATTAAGTTCACCGAGATATATATGATTTTACATAGTCTTGGCCATTAGTTTGGTCGGTACAGGAGAGCCCCGTTCATGCAGCTTTCAATATGGCGCCCATCATCCTTCCTTAACGCAACTGTCGCTCGAAAACGGAGATAACGGCGGAGTAACGGTAAAAACATCTAACATAATGAACATTGGCTCAATTGAAAGCCAACAGAAGTGTGAAACACCGATAATAGGTAGTGTATATGCGAGTCCCCCCTGTATTGGGCTACAAGTTGGTCTGTAACAGAGTGGAGAATGTATCCACGGTGGAGGCTGCTGGGCCTCGCTGACCCTGTTACTTAAGTGAAGAAATTTTGATGGGCCGTCCAGTAGTGGCTTCTGATGCCACATTTTCAACCTGCGGTTTAAAGATAAAACAAATGAATAATCAACAAATATAAATTTATTCTTAATTTGTGGATTTATCTGCAACAATTTCAGACATTTTCCTAATATAGTTCAAAGGGTCATAGAATGAAGGAATAATTAAAAAAAAAATTTTGGTACTCTAACCATAGGTACCGAGAGGACAATTTAATGTTAACAAACCAGTCCAAATATTTTTTCTCTTATAAATAAAAGTGAATAAATACTGTGTCCAAAAAAATGGTGTCAAACACGGACAGTAAAACAACGCAAACTATTAAAATTTCTGAGTTTACCTTAAAAGTGTTCATAAATAATGAAAAATTCGAGGCTAACTACTGTGAATAATAATTTTTGATAAAGTGTCGTACTATCAACAGCAGTTTGAAACTTAACATTAAAGAAGAATAATCGTTTGATTTTTTCTCAACTATGAAGTCAATATTTCTGCTTCTAAAATTAAAATTATTCTTAAATGAATCAGAGTGATTATCATGTAACCTGTGTTTATTATCTGAGATATTGAGTTTCTCACGAAATATCCACATCTATGTGTATAAATATACGTATTCATATTATGCAAATATCACTCACAAGCGATACAACATATCTCTAGGCCTTTCGTGCTGCAATCAGCACATCATCAGGAGCTTGCAAAGTCCAAGGACGTTCCCTGTGACTCGTAGTTGTTTTCCACGTTATATATATATATGTTTTTGCTAACATTTTCACAGTCACGGTATTGGGCCTTTATTGTTTTCTATACAAACGTCATATAGAAAATAAAATCTAAGGGATAAGGAATTTTGACTCGTTAATAACGGTTTTTTTAGTCAAAATATTTAAATGTTTTCAGAAAACACGAAATAGTTCGAAAAGTCGCAAATTATCCTTACGACAAATGACGTTATCGTTAATTATTCTATTTTAACTGTAGCAACAACACTGCACTTAAGTGTTGCTCCTAGGTATGAGTGTTGCTCCTAGGTATGAGTGTTGCTCCTAGGTATGAGTGTTGCTCCTAGGTATGAGTGTTGCTCTTAGGTATGAGTGTTGCTCCTAGGTATGAGTGTTGCTCCTAGGTATGAGTGTTGCTCTTAGGTATGAGTGTTGCTTCTAGGTATGAGTGTTGCTCCTAGGTATGAGTGTTGCTCCTAGGTATGAGTGTTGCTTGTAGGTATGAGTGTTGCTCTTAGGTATGAGTTTTGCTCCTAGGTATGAGTGTTGCTCCTAGGTATGAGTGTTGCTCCTAGGTATGAGTGTTGCTTGTAGGTGTGAGTGTTGCTCTTAGGTGTGAGTGTTGCTCTTAGGTGTGAGTGTTGCTCCTAGGTATGAGTGTTCCTCTTAGGTATGAGTGTTGCTCCTAGGTATGAGTGTTGCTCCTAGGTGTGAGTGTTGCTCCTAGGTGTGAGTGTTGCTCCTAGGTGTGAGTGCTGCTCTTGGGTATGAGTGTTGCTCCTAGGTATGAGTGTTGCTTGTAGGTATGAGTGTTGCTTCTAGGTATGAGTGTTGCTCCTAGGTATGAGTGTTGCTCCTAGGTGTGAGTGTTGCTCCTAGGTATGAGTGTTGCTCCTAGGTATGAGTGTTGCTCTTAGGTATGAGTGTTGCTCCTAGGTATGAGTGCTGCTCTTAGGTATGAGTGTTGCTCCTAGGTATGAGTGTTGCTTCTAGGTATGAGTGTTGCTTCTAGGTATGAGTGTTGCTCCTAGGTATGAGTGTTGCTCCTAGGTATGAGTTTTGCTCCTAGGTGTGAGTGTTGCTCCTAGGTGTGAGTGTTGTTCCTAGGTGTGAGTGTTGCTCCTAGGTGTGAGTGTTGTTCCTAGGTATGAGTGTTGCTGCTAGGTATGAATGTTGCTCCTAGGTGTGAGTGTTGCTCCTAGGTGTGAGTGTTGCTTCTAGGTATGAGTGTTGCTCCTAGGTATGAGTGTTGCTCCTAGGTATGAGTGTTGCTCCTAGGTGTGAGTGTTGCTCCTAGGTGTGAGTGTTGTTCCTAGGTATGAGTGTTGCTCCTAGGTATGAGTGTTGCTCTTAGGTGTGAGTGTTGCTTCTAGGTGTGAGTGTTGCTCCTAGGTATGAGTGTTGATCCTAGGTATGAGTGTTGCTCCTAGGTATGAGTGTTGCTCCTAGGTGTGAGTGTTGCTCCTAGGTGTGAGTGTTGTTCCTAGGTATGAGTGTTGCTCCTAGGTGTGAGTGTTTCTCCTAGGTGTGAGTGTTGCTTCTAGGTATGAGTGTTGCTTCTAGGTATGAGTGTTGCTCCTAGGTGTGAGTGTTGCTCCTAGGTGTGAGTACTGCTCCTAGGTGTGAGTGTTGCTCCTAGGTGTGAGTGTTGCTCCTAGGTGTGAGTATTGCTCCTAAGTGTGAGTGTTGCTCCTAGGTAAGAGCATTGCTCCTAGGTATGAGTGTTGCTCCTAGGTAAGAGCATTGCTCCTAGGTATGAGTTGCTCCTAGGTGTGAGTGTTGCTCCTAGGTGTGAGTGTTGCTCCTAGGTGTGAGTGTTGTTCCTAGGTATGAGTGTTGTTCCTAGGTATGAGTGTTGCTCCTAGGTGTGAGTGTTGTTCCTAGGTATGAGTGTTGCTGCTAGGTATGAATGTTGCTCCTAGGTGTGAGTGTTGTTCCTAGGTATGAGTGTTGCTGCTAGGTATGAATGTTGCTCCTAGGTGTGAGTGTTGCTCCTAGGTATGAGTGTTGCTCCTAGGTATGAGTGTTGCTCCTAGGTATGAGTGTTGCTCCTAGGTGTGAGTGTTGTTCCTAGGTATGAGTGTTGCTCCTAGGTGTGAGTGTTGCTCCTAGGTATGAGTGTTGCTCCTAGGTGTGAGTGTTGCTCCTAGGTATGAGTGTTGCTTCTAGGTATGAGTGTTGCTTCTAGGTATGAGTGTTGCTTCTAGGTATGAGTGTTGCTCCTAGGTATGAGTGTTGCTCCTAGGTATGAGTGTTGCTTCTAGGTATGAGTGTTGCTTCTAGGTATGAGTGTTGCTCCTAGGTATGAGTGTTGCTCCTAGGTATGAGTGTTGCTTCTAGGTATGAGTGTTGCTCCTAGGTGTGAGTGTTGGTCCTAGGTGTGAGTGTTGGTCCTACGTATGAGTGTTGCTCCTAGGTATGAGTGTTGCTCCTAGGTGTGAGTGTTGCTCCTAGGTATGAGTATTGCTCCTAGGCGTGAGTGTTGCTCCTAGGTATGAGTGTTGCTCCTAGGTATGAGTGTTGCTCCTAGGTATGAGTGTTGCTCCTAGGTATGAGTGTTGCTCCTAGGCGTGAGTGTTGCTCCTAGGTGTGAGTATTGCTCCTAGGTATGAGTATTGCTCCTAGGTGTGAGTGTTGCTCCTAGGTATGAGTGTTGCTCCTAGGTATGAGTATTGCTCCTAGGTATGAGTATTGCTCCTAGGTATGAGTATTGCTCCTAGGTATGAGTGTTGCTCCTAGGTATGAGTATTGCTCCTAGGTATGAGTATTGCTCCTAGGTATGAGTATTGCTCCTAGGTATGAGTATTGCTCCTAGGTATGAGTATTGCTCCTAGGTATGAGTGTTGCTCCTAGGTATGAGTATTGCTCCTAGGTATGAGTGTTGCTCCTAGGTATGAGTATTGCTCCTAGGTATGAGTGTTGCTCCTAGGTATGAGTATGAGTATTGTTCCTAGGTATGAGTGTTGCTCCTAGGTACAAGTATTGCTCCTAGGTATGAGTATTGCTCCTAGGTATGAGTATTGCTCCTAGGTGTGAGTATTGCTCCTAGGTATGAGTGTTGCTCTTAGGTATGAGTGTTGCTCCTAGGTATGAGTGTTGCTCCTAGGTATGAGTATTGCTCCTAGGTATGAGTGTTGCTCCTAGGTTTGAGTGTTGCTCCTAGGTATGAGTGTTGCTCCTAGGTATGAGTATTGCTCCTAGGTACGAGTATTGCTCCTAGGTATGAGTATTGCTCCTAGGTATGAGTGTTGCTCCTAGGTACGAGTATTGCTCCTAGGTATGAGTATTCCTCCTAGGTATGAGTGTTGCTCCTAGGTATGAGTATTGCTCCTAGGTACGAGTATTGCTCCTAGGTATGAGTATTGCTCCTAGATATGAGTGTTGCTCCTAGGTACGAGTATTGCTCCTAGGTATGAGTATTCCTCCTAGGTATGAGTGTTGCTCCTAGGTATGAGTATTGCTCCTAGGTATGAGTATTGCTCCTAGGTATGAGTGCATCATTCATCGTTGTCATCAATATTTCCAACAAGCTCCACAATACCATGTAGTTCCGGATACCTAACCATTTTTTTTGCTTTCCACTAGTTACCCAGAGATTAATAGCACACCATCTCTCTCTCTCTCACTCTCTCTCTCTCACTCTCTCTCTCTCTCTCTCTCAAATACTCACAAGCCAGTGACTATCTTAATGCATCTTGGGTTCAAGATGTACTTGTGTACTTGTTTCCTGCAGGTATTTCACCCTCCGGAGGCAGAAGACTGGTTCCTGGACATTAGCTCAGTCACTTTCAGGGATGCCGGTGTGTACGAGTGCCAGGTATCAACTAGCCCCAAGGTCTCCCTACCCATTCATCTCACCGTCCTGGGTGAGTCTCGAATTGATTGTTCTACATGTTTTGTCCCATATACACATAACCCACACATAGGAGAAAGAAATCTTTATATACTGGCTGGTATATATACTGGCTCCCTTCCCTTCACGCTTGTGTGTGACTAATCAATGGTCCAAGTCGGACAGAAAGTCATCGTAAGTTTCTGGTACGTGCGGGTTATTTGTATACTGTTCCATTCATGGTACTGGTCCTTTTAATTCTTTATTGTCCCATCTTCAGCCAATATTTCATCACAGTTAGGTTTGTTGAAGGGTAGTGAGTGTTACTATTCTGTCTTCTGTAAATCCTAACATTATAGGTCGAGGATCCTGGAGGATGGCCGAGTTAGGAAGCCTTATTTGAACCACCCAAATTGTGCACAGGGTAATCAGGTCGTCAACAGGGTCACGGACAGTCGACAAAATCATTACTGGGCCCTTAGGTGACTCCAAGAATAGTTTAACCTGATTAATGTGGCAGACCTTACCCAAGTTGAGTTAATCAAGAGGTGCTACCACGTAATTTTAATCACAGTTCTTTTTAACCATCTGCATCCGACCCATAAATATCGCTTTTAAGTTCCTGTACCAACACCTTGTCTCTTGGGTTAAAGAAGCGAAATTTAGAAGTTTTGTCATACCTCTGTTTCATGTTGTTTTGAGCGGGTTTTAGGCTGCTCTTAGTCAGCCGACGTGCCACGTGCATTCTTAATGTAGGATTGCGGGGTGTTTTGCAGGAATCTTCTCCCAACCATCCTTCCTTGAGCATATATAGTGAACCTCTCACATTATGCCCAAAAATCAGCTCAAAGGGACTGTTAGGTAAGACACATATGCAACAGTTAGGTATCTTTATTTCGAAACGTTTCGCCTACACAGTAGGCTTCTTCAGTCGAGTACAGAAAAGTTGATAGAAGCAGAAGAGACTTGAAGACGATGTAATCAGTCCATCAGCCTCAAAACTTTAAGGGTGATGGACTGATTACATCGTCTTCAAGTATCTTCTGCTTCTATCAACTTTTCTGTACTCGACTGAAGAAGCCTACTGTGTAGGCGAAACGTTTCGAAATAAAGATACCTAACTGTTGCATATGTGTCTTACCTAACAACCTGTCGGTATTTTATACCATTTTAATGTTCAAAGGGACTGTACCGTGTTGATTCCTGCACAGTTTTTAGCACTGCAAACAGCAGTATTTAGGAAAGTGTATGCAATCCGTATGCATCATAGTTTTTAAGGTTTGGTGAAACCTTTCCCAGGCTGGGACTGAGGACTTGCCATATGGGCATCTTTTTTCCCACTGGTTCGTTTCAGCAGGAAACAGTTATTTTTCCAAGTGGTTGTGATATGGTCAATTTACCACTAGCAGCAGGTTTACCTAACCTGGGTCAAGTAACTTTTATGTGACCAGGCTTAAGGCAGTAGTAACAAGTGATAGGTTAGGGAATCTTGTCTCTAATTCTTTGCTGGTTTTGAGACAGGTGTCGTTTTCCAGCTTCCACCTTCAGACGAAATTCAGAGGTCTGTCCATGATGATCTCTGTCCATACCAGGCTGCTGGGAAGCAAAGTTAAGAGACCGCTCGGACAAGGAGTTTTTGGCCTCAGATGTGTCAGCAAGTCTTGCCTCCATAACAGTTGCCACTGAATGGTCTTCTAAAATCATCCGATCCTGTGGTCCAACTGATTCAAGAAGATTGTCACTGAGGACCAATTGTACTAGCCCACTGAAATTCGAGACATCAGTGGACTTCTACCACTTGTTATAACTTGTGCACAAAGTCCAGATGGGACTGACCCAACTAACGCTTGCTCAGTTTAAATTCCCGCCCATATTTGGCTGGAATGTACCGAGTACTGCTGCTTTCACAAAGACGTAATTAACGTAAGTTTCACCACTTAAACCAGCTATAAATTCGTGCACTTTACCGTATAATGCTGTGTGAACGAGTGCTGCCCGGTGCTCGAGTGGCCATCGCCAACCTCCAGCCTGATTTTTGACAGACTCGAAAAATTGCTCAGGTTCAGAATCAGAAAACCGAGGCACTAGCGACAGAGATTTCTAAACACTGAAACTGTCAGCCAGAGTACTCCGAAACTGTCAGCCAGAGTACTCCGAAACTGTCAGCCAGAGTACTCCGAAACTGTCAGCCAGAGTACTCCGAAACTGTCAGCCAGAGTACTCCGAAACTGTCTCCTCTCCTCCTTTCTATCAAATTCCTCCTTAGTAAAGGCGCGTTGTTCCCTGGTGTGCTCAGACTGAGGTTAGCCAACTCAAGAGCTGTTAGGTAAGACACATATGCAACAGTTAGGTATCTTTATTGTGAAACGTTTCGCCTACACAGTAGGCTTCTTCAGTCAAGTACAGAAAAGTTGATAGAAGCAGAAGGGTGATGGACTGATTACATCGTCTTCAAGTATCTTCTGCTTCTATCAACTTTTCTGTACTTGACTGAAGAAGCCTACTGTGTAGGCGAAACGTTTCACAATAAAGATACCTAACTGTTGCATATGTGTCTTACCTAACAACCTGTCGGTATTTTATACCATTTTAATGTTCAACTCAAGAGCTAACGATGCTGACTTTCCCCGAGACAACCGCTATTAACCATCTATTTCCCCAGGTGGATATTGATCCTGTTACTCCGGAGTTTGTCCCTCTCCGTTATGATGGTATCGACAGTGGGATCGGTGATTAATAGCTTCTGTAGCAGCTGATATCTCGGGTTGGAACGTCATGTTATACGAGTCTAACCTTAATTTGCTGCATATACACTCACGAAGCTGTGCAACAGTAAGAGGTCGTCGATATTCTATACCAATAGAACGAGCAATACGCAAGCAGCTTTTCAGGGTATTGTTATCAGTAATCGCCTAGCATGAGTTGGTAGCATAACCCACCAGCACTATAACAAAATGCTAATTATGCAATATACTCAATGCAACACGAAGCAGTAACACGCAATTTTGCAACACAATTTAGGCAGGCTCGTAGAAACAAGACAGAGACAAAGACTTCAGGAAAGACATCCCATATTATGAACACATGTATAGTCTAGTGCTGTGTACACCTGGTTATAGCACGATAGCCAAGGTTGAAAATAGGAACAAACATAAGAGAGCAGAGAGTAAATACTTATATATTTCCCTCACCAAACAGCAAGCAATAATACAGAAAGGCAAACTGCAAGCAAGATACACAGTAAGAACCGTCTTGGACCAGACTTGGAGGTAAGTCAGCCAATGTTGACGCACAAGTGTACCACATCGCTTCACAACTTTGGCGGGCTTGTGATTGGCTGGTTGAAACAAGGTGCTAGCAAAACAACGGTACCACGCTTGCTGCATTCTTGGTACCTGGCTCACTGGTCGGGAGGGTAGGCCTATATAGTTTTATGACATACGCCGAATAAAATGTAACATACTCTTAGCATGCCACAACTTAACGTCGTCCAACACCCATACCCAAGCTTCTCATTCAACCTCCACACCCATCCCCTTCATTCGAGTCCCACACCCATCCCCTTCACTCGACCCCCACACACCCTACCCCTCACAACCCAGCCACCAGCACCCGACCCATCAGCACCCGACCCATCAACACCCGACCCATCAACACCCGACCCATCAACACCTGACCCACCAACACCCTACACAGGAACACCTGACCCACCAACACCTGACCCACAACACCCTACCCAGGAACACCTGACCCACCAACACCCTACCCAGGAACACCTGACCCACCAACACCCTACACAGGAACACCTGACCCACCAACACCTAACCCAGCAACACCCTACCCACCAGCACCCTACCCACCAACACCTGACCCAGCAACACCCTACACAGGAACACCTGACCCACCAACACCTGACCCACCAACACCCTACCCACCAACACCCTACCCACCAACACCTGACCCACCAACACCCTACCCAGCAACACCTGACCCACCAACACCTGACCCACCAACACCCTACCCACCAACACCCTACCCAGCAACACCTGACCCACCAACACCTCACCCACCAACAACTAACACTATACATTTTCCTTCTCGTTATATGCTGGTAGAATTACCAACAATATGTTAGTGCAACTAAAGTGACAAATGTCACTTTCTCCAGGAGGGTTTATCAAGCCTTTATAATCAATAATGGAACACACGCAGGGTATATATAGGTATTAGAGTGAGATGTAAAAGCATAATATAATCGCTGTAGTTTGTAGTATTAGTGGTAATAGTAGTAGTACTACTAGTAGTAGTAATACTAGTAGTAGTATTGGTTGTAGTTGCTATGTGATAATGGGGATTACGTTTTTATAAATAACTATTATTAATACTTCGAAGATGACGAAGTTGTCTTTATTCTGTTTAATAGTGTAAACAAAGTGGCTATTAAGGATTTTTCAAGACAAAATTGAAGAACTTTGAATGAATCAATACAAGGATTTTACACTATCCCCTGTGGAGGCTGTGACAAAATGTACGTCGGTGAAACAGGAAGAACCTCCAGACTCTTCTTATTGAACACATTATCGCATGTAGGAACGACAACTTGAACAATGCCTGTTTACAACACCGGAATTCCGACAACCACTTGATGAAATTTAACGACGCCCACCTAGTGATTAAAGAGCCCAATTTGCGCAGACGTAAATGCCATGAATCATCATTAATCATCATTTCAAACACAAGCAGAATAAAGGCAGCTTCATCATCTCTGAAGTATAAGCAAGAATTATTATTAAATCAATAAACTTTGCCATGGCATTATTACTTTTTTCCCCTGTGACTTTTTTTTCCTGTGACTTTTTTCTTGTGACTTTTTTCCCTATGACTTTTTTTCCTGGATCCGTTCGTTACATTGAAGATATCGTTTTGACAATCAAGCTTCCCAAGTATTGCACATATTGATTGATTGACTGATTATTTCTTGGTATCGTAAACTACATTTAACTGCATTTAAAAATGACTGCATTTAAAAATGATTTAAATTTAAATTTGGGTGAAATGAATAACTGAGGATGAGAAATATCTTTGGAAAAATATATTAATTTTTTAATTGGACAGAGAGACTAGTGTAGGTCCTTCCATTATGTATTGGTGAGTAAATTGAGGAGGATAAATATTGTAAAATGAAAGTAGGTTAAGGTGGATTATCTTCAATATAGAAAATAAGAAAGATGTCGAAATGTGAGAGATTTACAAAAGAAAGTAGTATATAGGTGGGCGAATCAAATCTTGGGAGAAAGCAAACAAAATGTGAAGAACATTATCGGAAAGTTGTTGATACAGGAAGAAGTTATGAGTAATGTGTTTGAGTTGGTCACAAAGTGGTGCCGTGAGGCAAGAGTTGGAAATGGATCCAAAAATAAATCATAGAGTCGCCTTAACACATAGGGAGTCTGATATTTTTATAATTCTATTGTGCATGAAACTGGAGATATATTGGCTTGCTTTTGCAGTGTTTTAGAATCTGAGTTCAAGACGTTGAAGGGTGAGGTTCTACTTAAGGACGAAAATAAGAAGCTGAAAATTTGCTTGGATAAGTATAGCAATGAAGAGAAATAGGTTACCAGCAGAGGGAGAAGTTTGGCTGTAGTTACAGGTGGAATATTCTTCCTAGTAAAGGGAGAAGCATCATATGAAGGAATGTTCAAGGAGCAAACTACATAAAGATGGGAAATCACTTTCCTGTTCTCCAGCACGAATGTACTTCATTAGTTAGTGAGGATGAATGTACCACTAACTCGTCTGCTAATAAAAGTAGGAATAGCCTTGTGGTGCGTGACTTACAGGTTAAATATATTGACTGTACTTTCTGTAAGAGATAGGAAAGTGAGAAAGAGGGTGCGTTTCCCTCTAGCTGGATAACAGTGTCAAATAATGGTAACAAACCCATTATCTGCCTCTTTGTTGGTGGAAAAGATATTTGGAAGGGCAGGAGACAGGTACTGCTACGAATTTGCTTTTTTCATTAAGGTATTTGAGGAGGTAGATCATGGTAATGAACATGATATTGTGTATATGTACTTCAGTAAGGATTCTGAGAGTCTCACATGAGAGGTTATTGAGAAAAAATTAAGGCACATGGAATAGGAGAATTTTTTTCCTGCATAGAGGCATGGTTGACAGAGTGGCAGCAGAGAGTTTGCATAAATGGAGAGAAATCAGAATGGTGGTGCATCACAAGCGGTGTCCCACAGGGATCAGTGTTGGGCCCCTTGTTGTTCACAATTTACATAAACGACATAGATGAGGGAATAAACAGCGACATTAGCATGATATATTGAAACTGGGTGATTTATCACGTTTTCCAAGCTCATCATTAACCTTACAATTATTAATTAGTGATTCCTTGTTGGTAATAACCAATTCAAGCAGGTTATTTCCTTTAGACGGCTCTGTCACAGTTTAAAAACAATCATGATCGTATCGAAAAAGTCACTAGACTCATGATTTCGTGACAAATTGACCCAGTAAATGTGGCTAAAGTTAAAATCTTTCGTTAAAACATTTTTGTTATTTCGTCCCATAGAAGTCTACCTAGCGTGTTCCCTATCAAGGTGAGGCCTGTAAACCACACCCATGATTTGCTTTCCACTTTCCTCTAGAAACTGTATCCAAATACAGTATCCGTCACTTACACTTTTATATTTTATTTACTGCAAAAGTTTAAGTTATCTCTGTCATACATCGCCACTCCACCGACCTTCTCCTTGACCTCATCAGTAGAGAATAATTTATAGCCTTGTATGTGGCACTCAGAAGGCATTTCTCTATCTTCCAAGTTGAACCACGTCTCTGTTATAGCAATAATATTTATGCTTACTGAACGTGTAATTAATTTGATCTCATCTATCTTATTTCTAGTGCTCCTATTAGTATAGTTGATCTTAAATAATTAAGTCACTCGCTGCCCTTGAATGTCAATCTTGTTTTGTTGACAAATTCTTTTGTTCTTATTAGTAACTATATGATGAACAATAATGTCTGAATATTTCCCTCGGATATTCTGATAATTTATGGAGGTTTCATTCTTCGTGCTGTAAACTCTACGCTTCCCACACACCCATTCTTACCAAACCATATCACGGGGGGGTTTTGAACTCTTTGATTGCGGGTTCAAACCCCACCCGTGGTATGGTTTGTTTGCAATCTTGTCATTACGATTTCCTAAGACACTCATTCTTCTATCTTTAACACTTTAAAGTCCTAGGCAACTCATCAACGGCTCCCTCAACAGAGTTAGCTACTTTTATCATTCCTGCCACAGAGAAATATCTCTGGGGGCATGATGAAGCATTAGACACATGCGCAGTATATGTCTAATTCTTCATGTAGCGCCCCATTCCTTACATATATACATCAATTGTCCCAGATGTCAATAAATGAGACTGCAAGTTCTTTGCAGTACTTGTCTCGCCAGCAGTTTACACGAATTGCCCTACACGCTTCTCATAACATATGCGCCTTAACTGCAGAACTTATGAACTTATGTCTGTGCAAACCTCTGCACTTTCTTCAGTTTCTTGAAATGCCTATCAGGTGTTGATTCCATATTGGTGCTGCATATTCTAGTGATGGTTTGACACAGCGTATACTATGCTGTAAATGGCTCTTTGCTAACGTTCCTGAAAGCCTTTTTTTTCTACGTTTGCCAGACGCGCATCTCAGGTAATATGCGCCTCAGTGAGGTTTGTCGCCTTTACCCCCTCGAGCCGGTACTCCTCCTGTAGTCTTTGGTCGTCTCCAGTCATCATAACCTGCACTTGCTGGGATTGAATTCCAGCATCCAGTTATCAGTCCAGACCAGCAACCTGTCAAGCTTCATTTGAAGTCTTAACTCCTCCTCACCAGTATATACTGTCCTCATTAGTTTCACATAAGCTGACAATAGATATATATCTCGGAATCTATTTCTTCCTTCATGTCGATGCATACAAGAAACATCAGCGGTCCTAGTACTGAACCATGTGGAACTCCACTCTTCACATGCGCCCATTTCAACACATGTTCTCAGACGTTATTTCCTTCCTGTTAAGTAATCATTGATACTGTAGTGCCTTCTCTGTTATTCCTGTTAGCTCATCTAGCTTTTGTCCTGGTCTCTTATGTGCTACTGTGTATGAAGTCATTTGACAGTACAAAACTATGCAATGGAGACTACAAAGGCACAATACCGTGAATGGAACAACACACAGATAACCCGCATATAGGAGTTTTTTTTCTCTTATGAGGGGGTTATTTGTGTAACAATATGCCATTTACACCAACCTGTCTCTCCTGCCTGGTAGGAAGGATTGCAAGACTGGATTTACCTTCTCTAAAGCTGAGTTGATTATTGTTCATGAACCTACGTCCTCACAGGTACCTCACCACTTTTTATTTGATAATCTTGTCCATAATCTTACATACTGTGCATGACAGGACACTGGCCTGTAATTTATTACTGTGTGCTCGTGTGTAAGTGTAAGTGAATGTGTGAATGGTTGTGTTTGTGTGTACCTGTTTGTAGATGTTTGTGAATGCGTGTGTGTTGTACTCACGCCTCCATAATAGATGATGGATTATCCATGAACCAGAAAATAACACATGATTTACAAGAATCTAATACTACAAAATTTATTTTTTTGTGCCCATTCACAGCTGTACAGGAGGCAGACATTGTGGGTCCACACGAGGTTTTTATACAGCACGGCTCCACCATCAGCCTCCACTGTGAGGTACTTGCAGGAGTGGAGGCAGTGGGATCCATACGTTGGCTGAGAGGAATCTCCACTCTTAACTACAGCTCACCAAGAGGAGGCATCAGCATGGAGGTATTTCACAACTCCTCAGTATTAATGTTAGACATATTCTGCTCCCGTATTTACACAAGATTTTTGGTGATGCTTAAATTTCCTGGGAATAATGACTAATGCACTATAATAACTAACATTACTTTCTCGCAACAAATATACATAATATGAAACAATTCATACTGGCAAAAAAAAAAAAAAAAAAAAAAACCTAACTTTTGTACACAGTACCGTCACAAACATTTAAAATAGTGTATTCAGCTTTTTTCAACACCGCAATTGCACAGCTTCAGAGCTCCACGATGTACTCTTCACCTTTCGTGACCTGAGTCAGTGATATCCGTGTTACCGTGACTTTTATAAAAATTACGAATTACTGGAGTTGTTACTGCTGCCCTACGAAATACTCTTTATAATTTTAACGAAAACTTTAGCGAGAAAAGATAATCGTCATCCGGACCCACCCAGGCTGACATACGAGCCTAAATATCTGAGGTTTAGCCAGTATTATCACTCCTCCACGATCATTCTGTCTCACCACCCACTTATATCCTTCTTATAACAATGTAGCAGCCACTGTTATGCCCTCTCTCTGTTGCCTCTACACTGCCGCCGTCTCTACTACAACCAGCCAACAAACTCCCCTACCACCGCCGCCACAGCAATTTCACAACCAAGGGTAACACGAGTTCAGATCAAGTTCCTCCTGCCTCTCGCATTTGCTGAACCACTACAACGACCATAAGGTAACTGCACACAAAATGCTTGCAAATGGAATAATAGGAAAAGTGTGTTTAACTTCCTAATAACTAAAACCCAAAGAGTAATAGCAAACAAAGTGATATCAGAGGTTGCCACTAAAAAGTTCTGTTCCCGATGAACGGTACTCTCTCCACTGCTCTTTCTCGTTCTCGTATCGAACCAAGACACGGATGTAAACCATAGCACCGTATTATCCTTGGCAGACCACTCAGAAATGCATGCAAGCAACATCTATGGAAGACACAGTGAGCCTATATGCTAGCATAAACAAATTCTTCCAGTGAGTTGCTTACGAAATGGGATGTTAAATATGTTGTGGTAAAATTAATGACATACGTCTGGAAGACTGGACAAACTCAAATCACTCATTTGAGAGGAAGTCTAGTGTGAGAGACTTGGGAGTAATCATGTCAGAGGGCTTCTCATTCATGCAACACAACAATGTTGTTATAGCAGCCTCGAGGGAAATAGTATATTGGAAAATCTGAACTTGCAAACCATGAAATGCCAAGCCTGTGATCAAATCAAATCAATTCAAGTTTATTCTCTATAAGGGTTACAATGTGGGGTTTACAGGATTTGGATATTGTGTGGTTTACATGTTATAAAATACTAATTACAGAGGGGGCCACTAGGACACCTAGCATGGCTAGGCATTTCGGGCAGAATTAGATTAATTCTTAACATTAAATCCTTACAGATTATGGTATTAAGGCTAGGCGACTATATTATAATTTGTAAGCTTAGTAATGTGAATGCTTTTGTTTTGGCACAATACAAAGTGTCTATATTGGAGTATCATAGGCAAACTTATGACTAGTTAGGATTCATTATTTTAAGATTAAGATTAGTATTTCTGTGTTTATAGTCAGTGGATGAGTGAGTGTAATTGTGAACCACCAGGCGGTTATCATATAGTTAGTTGTCGGGGTGAATCGGGGAGATAAGATGTTTTCTAACTGTAGTTTTGAAAGTGATGAGTGTGTCTGCAGTTCTAGAGTTTTCAGGTAGGGTGTTCCAGATTTTAGGTCCTTTGAAATACATTGAATATTTGTAAAGGTTTAGTCGGACACGGGGAATGTCATAGAGATGTTTGTGTCTGGTGTTATGCCTGTGGATCCTGTCACAACTATCAAGAAAGCGTTTTAGGTCAAGGTTAATATTGGAATTTAAGGTCCTGTAGATATAGATTGCACAGTAGTAAGTGTGGATGTTCTGAACAGGGAGTAAGTTTAGATCTATGAAGAGTGGGGGGGGGGGGGGGAGGTGTTGCCAGGTATGGTACTCTTTAGGTCACTCATTCTCATTCTTCTAGAATACTGCTGTAAACTAACCGCTCCTTTAAGTCAGGCAAAATTGGAAACTTAAAAATAGAGAAAGTACAGTGATATCTTGTACGACTTCGATTAAGCACCTTAATTACTGGAAGCCTTTGAAGTCCCTTATAACATAAGCAAGAAAGATGTATCACAATCTAAACCTGGAAGATCAAAAATAAACAATACAGTGACTGGAACAATACATAGATAACATGCACAAAGGAGAATGGAACTTACGACTACGTTTTGGTCCGAGTAAGACCATTAACTAATTCTGGAAGACTGTGCAGCAAGTGGTCCCAAACTTGCACTCTGGAAAAGCCTCATATGAAAGCAAGATCCATTGCAGACGGTGCAAAATGTCTCTAGTGATAAACAAAGGCGTGATGAGTACACAGAGAGAGAACTCTAATAGACCTTAAGTTTTCAATACCTTTCTCTCTTGCATTACGTGAATTACCAACAAATCCCAAGATGTGAAGAATGGTTTTGAAAACCGACAAGTTGAAGAACTGAGACACTTAAGCAACATATGGGAATCTTATTAAAGAAACGTTTCACCACACAGTGGCTTCATCAGTCCATCACAAGGGTGATGGACTGAACACATCCTAAGGGACTGATTACCTGAAACTACTCCTCTCCTTATACCTTCCTGCTTTGCATTGGACTGATGAAGGCACTGTGTAGCGAAACGCGTCTTCAATAAGATTCCCATATGTTGCATAAGTGTCCCAGTTCTTCAAATCCCAAGATATCTTCATAAGGGCACTCGACAAGCCCTTCAAGCTAACCGCTGATCAGCCTGGCTGTGGTGCATACATTTGACTGCGGGCAGAAGGCACCAACAACCTGATTGATCAAACAAGCAACCACGAGGCCTATGCTGGGACCAGACAGCGGCTCAGTAAACCCGAGAAACAGCTACATGTAACTTACAGGAATCCATAAAAGAAAATATATTCAGTGATGTCCACACGTTTTGAAGTCACTTTGGATGCCGGACGATGGGAGAAATGTTCTATATATTAGACTGATGAAGCCACTGTTAGGGCGAAACGTTTTCTCAAAGATTTCGAAATGTTGCATATGTATCTCGTTCTTTACCTGGAGTCACTGGCAAGTTATTATTTTCCTTCTATTTAATTGTTTCAATGTTCTGTAATTACATTTTTCTTGCTATACTTGGGAAAAACTTGATTACATTTTGTTTTACTAATCAAATATTTGTTTGCAATTTTATATATTTGTTATTTTCAACAATACTCTGTTCTTAGAATTATTTTAACTGTGAAAATCGTTTTCTTTGTAATTTTATTTGTTTCACTGAGGATTTTCTTAGTCGTTGTTGCTTCTGCTTTCATCACTGCTTGTAGATATGTTGTAGTTGATGCTGCTTGCAGTGTAGCTGCTACTGCATGTACTGCTTGCAGTGTAGCTGCTACTGCATGTACTGCTTGCAATGTAGCTGCTACTGCACGTACTGCTTGCAGTGTAGCTGCTACTGCACGTACTGCTTGCAATGTAGCTGCTACTGCGCGTACTGCTTGCAATGTAGCTGCTACTGAACGTACTGCTTGCAGTGTAGCTGCTACTGCATGTACTGCTTGCAATGTAGCTGCTACTGCACGTACTGCTTGCAGTGTAGCTGCTACTGAACGTACTGCTTGCAATGTAGCTGCTACTGCACGTACTGCTTGCAGTGTAGCTGCTACTGCACGTACTGCTTGCAATGTAGCTGCTACTGCACGTACTGCTTGCAGTGTAGCTGCTACTGCACGTACTGCTTGCAATGTAGCTGCTACTGCACGTACTGCTTGCAGTGTAGCTGCTACTGCACGTACTGCTTGCAGTGTAGCTGTACTGCACGTACTGCTTGCAAGTGTAGCTGCTACTGCACGTACTGCTTGCATGTAGCTGCTACTGCACGTACTGCTTGCAGTGTAGCTGCTACTGCACGTACTGCTTGCAATGTAGCTGCTACTGCACGTACTGCTTGCAATGTAGCTGCTACTGCACGTACTGCTTGCAAGTGTAGCTGCTACTGCACGTACTGCTTGCAATGTAGCTGCTACTGCACGTACTGCTTGCATGTAGCTGCTACTGCACGTACTGCTTGCAAGTGTAGCTGCTACTGCAGTACGCTTGCATGTACTGCACTGCAGTACTGCTTGACAGTGTAGCTGCTGCTGCAAGTACTGCTTGCAGTGCAGCTGCTACTGCACGTACTGCTTGCAGTGCAGCTGGTAGCTGCAGTACTGCTTCTGCTGTGAGCTGCTCTGCACGTGCTGCTGCAGCTTACATACTGCTGCTGTCTCAAACTGCATTGCAGCATGCAGCTAACTGTGTCTCAACCGTACGCTTAGCAGTGCAGCTGTGACTGCAGTCAACCTGCTTCAGCACTTGCAGCATGAATTGCGTCCTTCAACACTTGCCTTCAAGCACTGCAGCCATTAACTCATTAACTCTGCTGTCCTCAACACTGTCACCTTCAACACTGCAGCCATTAACTCTGCTGTCCTCAACACTTTCACCTTCAACACTGCAACCATTAACACTGCTGTCCTCAACATTGTCACCTTCAACACTGCAGCCATTAACACTGTTGTCTTCAACACTGTCACCCTCAATACCACAACCATAAACACCGTTGTCTTCTACACTGTCACCTTCAACACTGCAACCATAAACACCGTTGTCTTCAATACCACCACTGTGGGAGAATTTCATTCCACCAGTCTCTCTCACTTTCCCCTCCCTAGGGAAGAGTGCCTGACCCAAGGGTCACCGTGATTGCTGGCACCGCCATCAAGTGGAGGAGATGAAAAGGGAGTTGCCAAATTGATTCCCCCACTCTTGGGGAGGCTGGGAATGATATCGTCGTCGTCTTGACAAATGTCAGTCGTCAATGATTTGATGTCAAGAGATGAGACCTTGACC